TAGGATACCGCCTTCCTCTGGTGCTCTTCTCCTTTAATGGTCCTAGGGTCCTCTGTTCCTGGAATGTTAAATTAACTATACACCCCTTTGTGTTACAAAACGTCTACCTTTACAGTTGTGATATCTGCAATTAGACATAACAATTACTCAGTATTGAATCGTAAGAATCTTATCCCCATCTCCTTTCATCAGATCCATCCAGACAAGATGAAAACTATTCAGTGGGGATTTTACTTTACCCACCTCCCCCCCCACACACTCTTAAAACTAAATTCCTTCTTGAAAAGTTTTAAACCAGTCACTTTGTGCCTTTATAGTCCAACACCCCACCCCTCATTTTAGGTAGCCAATGACAACAGATAGTCTTTTAATGAATATTGGATGGATGAAATTAAAAAATCAAATGATGAAATAGAAATTTCAAATAACTGATAAAGTGTAATAAAAGAAGACTGGTCCTGTAGGTATATCTTCTGTTGTTTTTGTTTTCATTCATTCTTACATTGGTGACCTCATTGTGCAATTACAGAATAATCTCAGAAACATGGACCAAAACCTGGATGTATACCCAACTTGGATCAGAGTAAAAGTTTTAAAATTCTCTTTTGTCTTGTGTGTGTAAAGGAGGCACACCTGCTCTTATAGACACCGTTTGAAAGGATGCTGTTTTCTTATCCATTCTGCTACTCTAGCTCTTGACTGGTGCATTTCATCCATTTACACTCAGTAGGATTATTGATAGCTATGAATTGATGGCTGTTACTTTGCTGTGTGGTTTTCTGTGATGCTGTTGGGTTTCTTTGTTCCAAATCATTTTCTGTGCTGAGTTCAGTTTGTTTATGCATTTTCTCGTCATTTTCTTCATTGCTGTTGTTTAGCTGTTTACTAAATATTTTAAATTTCCTCTTTTTTGGGGGAGGGTAGATGTGAAGGTATACTAATTTCCTTTGATGTTGCCTTATAATTCATTAATTTCTTATCCAGTTTAAAAGTGTGTTTTATCTTGAAAATGACTTCCTAGTCACTTAGAAGTTCTGTAACTACACTATTCTCTCTTTTTACTTTGTAGTTAGCGTCATTATAAATTGATACCACTGACTCCATATCTTCAGTCTTGTTGGTTTGTTTTACTTTGCATACTTTTATATCTGGATTGCGTAATAGGTCTTGGGGTCATGTATGTAAACCCCAGGTTGTTGTCTGTGGTTGTTCTCAGTTCAAGTAACTTCCTTTAGTAATTTTTAGAAGGTTGGTCTGGTTATTACACATTCCTTTATTGTTATTAAGTACTGTGGAGTCGGTTCCGACTCATAGCAACCCTGTATAGGGTTTCCAAGGCTGTAAACCTTTACGGGAGTAAAAAGCCTCATCTTTCTCCCACGGAACAGCTAGTAGTTTCGAACTGCCGACCGTGAGGTTAGCAGCCCGATTCGTAACCACTATGCTACCAGAGTTCCTTTACACATTCCTTTAGTTTCTGTTAATCTGGAAATGTCCTAGTTTCACTATCGTATTTGAGGGACAGATTCAGGGCAGAGGCGTCAGCAGAGAAGGTTATGGTGACAGTTATTTTGGATTACAAAGGTGTCATGTTAACGACAGTCTACGAGGACACAAGATGATTGATCGATCATGGTAACTTAGGAAAATTGAAAACTGCATTAGTGATAAAAAGGCCAGAAGAGTTATAACATCGAACATTATTTTTTCCATCAAAACAATGCACTTGCTCATTTAAACAATTTTGAAGGACAGCAGGACTGTCCTGTAAGAATTTCTTTGGGAAACTTGACCCCCATTCACCTCACAACCCTGATGTTGCCCCATTAGACTTCTTTTTGTTCTCGAATCTCAAAAAACATTTAAAATGAACACGATTTGAGTCCCTGGAGGATGCCAAGTCTGTGCTTTTGATGTGGTCTAAATCAAAGAGCCTAGAGTTCCTTAATCAAAAGGTGGTGGTTGTTTTCAAGTGCCTTTCAGTCATTTCTGACTCAGGTCAACACTGTATAGGGTTTCTGAGGAGCAGTTGGTGATCTTGAATTGCCAACCTTGCAGTTCAAAATGACCCTGCGTTCTAGTACATTAATGCACAGTGCCACACCAGGACTCCGGTGGGAGTGCTAGAGAGGTGGAAACACTTGTTTGTAAGTGTATAGGCCTAAATGGAGGGTGTATCATGAAATAGTAACTTCATTTCTGATGTTTGTGTTTAATCAATATTTTATGATTTTGACTTACCTTTGTATATAGGAAACCCCAAAGATTCTACAAGAAAGCTACTGGAAATAATAGAAGGAGTCTGAAGATTAGCCATACATACAATATTCAAGACCCTATTTCTGCCAAAAGTTACAACATCATTTGCAGGCCATACAAAATTATCAACTTAAAAATTAGCCTGCTATATTTGGTGAAACGTTTAATTAACTCATCCCTAAGGTGATAGATTCCTGGTGTGGTGCTGTGGGTTAATGCACCAGACTGCAAAGCCATTTGAACTGCAAGGTTGGCGGTTCAAGCTCACCAGATGCTCCTCAGAAACCCTAGCAGTGTCACTATGGGTCACAATCTACTCGACAGCACTTAACAACAAAGGTGATGGCTCAATGTAAACAAAATAAAAATCCTCACCACTGGACCAGTAAACACCATTCTTATCAACGGAGAAAAGATTGAAGCTGTTAAGGACTTCATTCTTCTTGGATCAAGTGTCAACACTCATGGAAGCAGCAGTCAAGAAATCAAACAATGTATTGCATTGGCAAATCTGCTGCACAAGAACTTTTTAAAGTGTTGAAGAGCAGAGATGTCCTCTTGAGGACTAAGGTATGCCTGACCCAAAGCCATGGTATTTTCAATAATCTCATTATGCATGCAAAAGCAGCTGTACAGTGAATAAGGAAGACTGTAGAAGAATTGATGTTTTTGAGTTATGATGTTGGAGGAGAATACTGAAAATGCCATGGGCTGCCATAAGAACCAACAGATATGTGTTGGAAGACATGCAGCCAGAGTGCTCCTTGGAGGCCAAGATGGCCAAACTTCGTCTCTCATACTTCAGACATATTTTCAGGAGGGACCAGTCGCTGGAGAAGGGTATCATGTTTGGTAAGGTGGAGGGTCAGAGAAAAAGAGGAAGACCCCCAATGAGATGGATTGGCCAAGTGGCAGCATCGATGGACTCAAACCTGGTTATACACCCACAAAAAGAACATTGAAAAAGAAACCAAGAAACAATGCCAACTGCAATGCTGTTGTTGTTATGTGCTGTGGAGTCGGTTCTGACTCAGCGACCTTGTACAGGGTTTCTTTCTGAGGCTGTAAAACTTTACGGGAACAGAAAGCCTCATTTTTCTCCTGTGGAACAGCGGGTAGTTTCAAATTGCTGACCGTGAGATTTGTAACCAATCACAATGTTGTTGTTGTTAAGTGCCGTGAAGTTGGTGCTGACCCATTGCAACCTTGTGTGTAGAGTTTCCAAGGAGCAGCTGGTGGGCTTGAACCGCCGACCATGCAGTTCAAACGGCTTTGCAATCTGGCACACTAGACCACAGCGCCACACCAGGACTCCAACCAATTGCAATAGTACCCCCACAGACAAAATACTTATCTAACTAGGGATGCGATTGTTGCCATTGTGTGCTGGTGTCTCTTTTGGCTCCATTGTGACCTTGTATAGGGTTTCCAAGGAGAGGTTGGTGAGTTTCAACTGCCGACTCTGTGGTTCATATCGACCTTGTGGTCAGTGTTTATCCCTGTACAAAGAAAATCACAAAACCCTAATGCAAGGAATCAAAAGAAACCCACACAACTGGGGAAGTATGAATGACAAGCTCATGACTACAAGGACAGCATAGTAAAAGTGTCAATACTAATCAAAGCGATCTATAGATACAGTGCAATCGTGACTTAAATCCCGACCACATTCTCAGCTAGTCGCCAAATTCATATGGAAAGGAAAAAGACTGTATAAATAAAGTATTGAAGACGAAAGTAGGAGTCTTAACACATTCTGATCTCACAATATTGGAGAGTCACTGTAGTCCAAACAGCCTGATATACATACAAGGACAGACACACAGAGCAGTGGAACAGGATTGAGAACCCAAATGGAAATTCATCCACCAGTGGGCAGCTGAAGGACTTCGACAAAGTTCTAAGTCCATTAGGCGAGCAAGAGAGTTTCTTTAACAAATGTTGGCAAATTGGATGTGTAGCTGTACAAAAATTGAACAGGATCCACACCTCACATCATACACACAAGCGATCACAAGATGGATCACAGATGAAGTATAAAACCTAAAAATTTTAAATATCAAGTTTTAAAACAGGGACAATGCTTAGAGTTTTTGAGAAACAAGTTATGTGCAAAAAATTAAATATGGCCCAGTACTTTGAGCATTGTGCATTTTCTGGATGTACCGCTGAAGGAACGATTAGTGTACATTTGGGCTAACATTGTCTTGAATTAATGGACTACCAAACGTGACTCATAATGCCCAGACATCAGAGGATGAACTGGAAGTCCACATTGATTACATTCTTCTCATTGTGCAATCATTCTCACTCTCCTCTCCCAAATCATTCACACACAGTGTGCACCTTGCTCCTAGGGAAAGGTATCTGACATAAAAGAGAGGACAAATCATGAAACAGAAGCCAAACTACAGACTTCAACAGGCACATGTATCTCTGGTAGTGTAGTGGTTACGAATCAGCTTGTGAACCTCAGGGTCAGCAGTTCGAAACTACCAGCTGTTCCGTGGGAGAAAGAGGTGGACTTCTGCTGCCGTAAAGATTTACAGCCTCGGAAACCCTGTACAGGGTCGCTATGAGTCTCAATAGACTCCATGGCACACAAAAACAACAACGTGCAGATACACCTTGAAGAAAACCTAGGCTTTTTCTGAGCGGAAATAAGAACAGCCAAGCCACAAGGCGACGCCACTGGATCCCAGGGACAAGAGTTATAGTTTTCTGTGTTTCCGCACGGTAAGGTTCTACTGCAGCACGGAATGTCCCGAAACCGGAAGCGGAAGTGCGCGTTCTCGTTTGGCCTCCGTGTTGAGCCGCCCTCCTGCTCAGGTGGTACGGACGTTTAGCCAGGGTTGTCCGTGGGTCTGGTTCCCACTTAAGGTGCCCCGCAGGCTCGTGTCCCGGGTCCGAGGGCACTGCTCCCGCTCTCGCGCACTCTCGGTTTGTCCTCCGCCCTCTCGGAGCCTCGAGATCGCTTCCCGGGGAGTCACCGCCGCCTCTTCTTGCGAGAGCCTGGGCCCCCCGGTCATTTTTGCCGCTGCTGGGAGGCCGAGCCACTAGCGGGGAGCTACGCGTGTCGGTGCGTCCTTGGGTCGCGTGGCGTGCGTCCGCGCGGAGCACAGTGTGTGTGTCAGCCCTGCAGCGTCCGCGTCCCGGGGAGGGAATCTGGGAAATGCAGAGGCCGGGCCGCTGGGGCGCCCGGGTTCGGTAACCGGGAATCCATCTGTCGGACAACGGGCTCCCCTTCGTCGTCTCCTCGTTTTATAACCCACCCCCTTAACCCGTTACACTCTACAGCCTGGGGAGCTGTCCTCGGCCCCTGTCACCCCTGACATGTGTGTATTTCATCTGTTGAGCTGCTAGGGGTCGTGGTGATTTGCGCAGACGCAGGTGGTGTCTGTGTGCAGGGACCCTTCCTAGGATAACTCGCTGCGCGCTTTGTGCGAAGATGGTGGGCCAGAAGGAAGGAGAAAGCAAGCCACGTCACGTCTACCCATCCACATACTGTCTAGTTATGGGACATAGTTTACCGTGAATAATGATAAACCAGGCAATGTCTGAGATCTACCCTAAACTGTGTGGTTAGACTTTTTAAAGGACAGTTAAGTGACGCATCAGAAGATGAGTATGGTGAGCTGCGTGGCTGGTTGTGTAAGGCTGGCGGCATGCAGAGTATTTGGGGAAAATAAGTTCGCGGTAGAGAACGCAGAATGATGAATTCGGTGATGAAAGGTCCGATGGATGGAGAGAAAACCAAGTGTGGGTGGTGACTTTTGCCTGAGCCAAATTGGAGGAAGCTATGGTAGCAGGTCTTTTAGAACCAGGCTGACTATACCAGGCTGTTTGGAGGCCAGTGGGCAGCCACTGATGGGCATGAAACAGTTCCTATGCTGCAAATGATTTTGGAAATGGTAGCTGTCATTGAACAGTGTGAGGCAGGAGGTCGTTATGAATAAAGTAAGACTGATGACTGTGGATCAGAAATGGAATGCAACGTTAGGAAGTAACCTATCATTGGTTGAAAGGGCGTAGATTGATGGAAGATGCTGGTGTCTTGTGTTTCAGGCTATGGATCAATGAATGTTTCTTAACGTTTAGATATCAATGTGGTTAAACCAAGTCAGGGACCTTGATAAAATAGAAATTTTGATTCAATAGTTCGGGGGTGGGCCTTGAGATAATTACATTCCAAGTTTATCTTAGAAATATATAACCCTAGAAGTAAGGATGTGAATTCAAAGTAGACCTTGTTATTAGACAAAATACTGCACATGGCCTATTTCTGAAGGAACTAGCTTCCTTCAGAAAGTTCATGGGAAAATGAAATGAAAAGGCAGTTGAATTTTTTTATGAACTTTTAAAATCCCCTGTGTAAAAGGAAGGAAGGTGGTTACAGAGAGAGAGAGAGAGAGAAATGGGAACAGACGCAGGAGATGACTCTCCTGAGGTTGATTATATGGTTGAAAGACAACATATTCAGGAATGCCAGATTTCTCAAAACTTTAGGAAGCGGTGTCATGGTTTAAGAAAGAAAAGGGAAAAGAAGAAAGAAAAGCAATTGCATAACTAACAAGGGAAAATGCTAATTGTATATTGTTGTTGGTAAGTGCTGTCAAGTCGGTTCTGACTCATAGCCACCCTGTATAGGGTTTCCGAGGACCAGCTTTTGAGTTTGAACTGCTGACCTTGAGGTTTGCAGTCCAGGGCTGATCCTACAGCAACATGCCAGGATTGCATATTAAAATTTTATAAATGAACAGTTTTTAAAAGCACACTACAATGGTTTCATGGAGTCCTAGTGTGGCACTTGCAAAGTCAGCTATTCAAACCCATCACTCTTTCCTTGGAAACCCTATACAGGGTCACTATGAGTTGGAGCCAACTACTTAACAATAACAGAATGCTTTCAATGGTACATAATTACAAATGAATGAAGCACACTGTGTTTACTGACAAACTGTGTAAAAGTATGTTCTGTGTGAACATGTACCCATGACCTCTGGCTTCCTTCAGGATATCAGGTTCAATTTGTCCAGCCTGGCAAAGCTTCATTGGTTCTCAAACTGCAGAATGAGTAAATGCTTCCATCTGTGATCTTGTTGCCAGAAAGAGCCCCAGAAGGCAAGTGTGTGCTGGAGAGACTGTAGATCGTCTGCCTTAAGTGTAAATGTTTGCTGCGTGGATCACTGCCCTGAGCCTGGAGGAAGCTAAGAGCCTGTCACTCCTGTACACGCAATCCTGTCTCCACCCCCACCCCCTCGCCCCTCCTTCCTTTCCTCTCAGCTCTCCAGTGTGGTGCAGGGAGACCGAGTCCAGTCCAGGCGGCTGGGGACCCAGGACGATCACCTGGTACATCTGTGAATCCGAGGGAAGGGTTTCAGCTGCTCGGCCTGGTGTGTGCAGCTCCCAGCATTCATCTAACTCCACGCTGCCCGCTGCTCTGCTGCCACTGCCATCTGCTGCCTCAATTGGCTTCAGGGACGTAGAGAGAAGAACCCTTAGATGACCGAAAGTGACAGGCAGGAAATGGTGAGTGCCACAGGGAACAGGTTCCTTTTTCGGGAGGAGGGAGGCTGCAGGTGACATGCTGTAGGGAGAGAGGGAGGCTACAGGTTCTGTAGGGCTTCCTCAAGGAAGTAAAAGGTGGGGGCAGCCTACAGGCTGAGCCCTGGAGGCACCCTCAGGCCCTGCTTCACAGTCACTGGGACTTGGTGTCTGTGGCGCCTTGAGACTGATACCTGGGTCCTTCCATGACTCTCAGAGTGCTTCCCCAGGGTCCTAACACTGCCATCCTGGGCTTTGATGTTCCGTGTTGACTGGGACAGAGTTTCCGGAGCCGCGCTCCAAATGGGAGCCCATTCCTCACGTTCCTCGAGCTGTGGCTTCCACTCCCACACTGAGCTATGGGATGGAGAAGATGCCACAGAGGTCTACACAGAGGGTGGGCTGTCAGGAGGTGCTGATGCTCTCCAGATGTCACTCCGGGGGTCTCCTTGTCTGCGGGCAGTGCTGTTGTCTTAAGGCTTTCACCATAATTCAAAGGCATCAATTCTTTTACGTTCTTCCTTATTCACTGTCCCAACTTTCACATGCATATAAGGCTATTGAGAATACCATGGCGTGGGTCAGGCACACCCTCACACCTGTTGACTTAGGTAGAGCTGATATATAATTTAAAAACAGATCCTCACACCTGTTGACTTAGGTAAAGGTGATATATAAGAAGCCAAAAAAGTGCTGCCAAGTCGATTCCGACTCATAGTGACTCTGCATAGGGTTTCCAAGGAGTGTCTGGTGAGTTTGAAGTCCTAACCATGCGATCCAATGCATTGACCGACATTGCCACACCATGCCGGGGTCTGACCCCGACATAGTTGTCACGAGTTTTTGGTTCACGAGGAGGGGAGATCCAGCGGCGATAGGGATAGCGAAAGAATACACAGAGAAACAGAAGAAGGGAGACAATGAGGCACCCCAAAG